AATCAAACCCGGTTCTCCCAGATTAGAGTCGGCGCACTTAACCACTACACCAAACTGGCTCTCTTATGAGAGAGAATATGAGGTAGAGAGAGAGAGAAATGCCCATGGGGGAAAGAAAGGCATATATTTCAAATTATTTTTATAATAAAAACATGGGCATCTTGGTCTTAGATTTTCTTGCAATTAATCCAGTTATTAAGCGTCTCCCCTCTCTTCATCCCCCATTGAAGAGATTGACTTGTCTCCAAAATCTTGGGGCCACAAAATTCAACACGCATAGTCTAGCCTTCACTATTCTCTGCAATTAATGTATGGGTTTTTAAATAACACAATGAGAACTAAATTCTATTTGCATTATATCAGGAAGCTGCTGATATGCTATCTACTTTGTCCGACGGTTCTTTAGTTGACTCCTCAGGAAGACAAGAGGCAGAGAGGCAGCAGACTGAGGTGGAAAATGTAAGTCTGGTCACTTATTCTCAGTTCTGTAAGGCCTCTTCCAAATCTATGACTTTGTGATCTCTTGTCTGTAATTCCTTGGATTGACTCACTGTCAAAATGTTAGGCAGTGACCACAAAACACTTAAGTGTGGGTATTAAATACTGGGTTCCAGACGCATTGCAGTGAACAGCTCTACTTTATTAAGTGATTTCAGGAACAAGACAAAAAAAAAATCACTAGGGCAGCAGCCCTGTTTAAATAGCATGCAAAAACCACACCCAAACACACCCCACTCCCAACAATAGGCTATTTACATAACATTGCCCATTGGTCACTTCTAGAGTCCTGGTGGGCTATTGTTCTAGAGCTCCAAGCTCAACCAGTCTCTGCTAGATAGACCTGGAGTGTTCCAGACCTAATAAATAACAGTGGGCATTTAAGATAGTTAAAACTGGTGGGCTTAGAATGCATTCAGCGGTGGCTTGTACCTGGCATATATATATAGTATGTCTGTCTGTCTGTCTGTCTATCTATGTAGTAAATCTTGCTTATGTGGAATGTGAATAAAAAAGGAATAGGTGTTCAAGCATGGGACTATGCTTAGGCATTCTGTGAAATAAAGGAACAAACGGTGGAAGTCATTATGTTATGGTCATGCTGTACCAGTACTTGGCCTTTGTAAGTTCATGTTGTTTGCAAGTATTTCAAACGTTTAAAAAGATTTTGCGTGGAAATCATGTTCAGCACGGGGTTTGCATTTGTGCAAATGTTTTTCTTTGTGTGCATCCCATTGCTAGCTAACAGCTGTGTCAATCCCCTATGCAGGAACGTCAGGAGAGCAGCCTAGACTATGAAGAAAAGAGGCAGAATAAGAGAACTTTAGAGTTATTAAATGCTTTCCAGGTGAGGCCTTTTTTATTACTATGTGCTATTTGGCAAAGGAATAACTGTAAGAGGTGCTATACATCAAACAGAGTCAAAGGTTAACACCCAAGCTCTATTAAAAAATTTAAAGTGTCCCACATGTATGTATTTTTGGTGTTCTATAATTCCAGCGTCCATCTCTGTCACACTAGCTTTCCAACGCACTTTGCTTGTCTGCCCCTTAGGGGCCACATGCTGCTTGAAGTGCAAGCGTGAACCAAGCAATTATGCAGGTGCTTTTTCTCTGAGCAACAGAGTGCAAAGGTTTGGTTCCCATGGCATCGTTCTGCTTTGTGTTTTTAGCATTACGCAGGCGGATTTTTGTTGTTGGTGCCCCACAAGAGCTTAGTAGGGTTTTATCTCCTGTATCCATATGTGCAAGAGATTGCAGCAGCGGCACCTGTCTCGGATAAATAATGCTTGCACAGCAGCTAACGCAGCTTGCACAGATATAGTCAGGGGTCATTTCCTGCAGGAGCACACAGGAGTGGAGCTCCGGCAGTAAAGAGCCCGGGGATGGGCACATGCAACGAGCCCCACCCCCTGCTCCCAGCAGCCCTCTGTCAGAGCAAGAAGCAGCCAGGTAAGTTGCAGAGCCCCCCCCCCAGTTCCCTGGTTTAAAACAGTCCAGTGGCACCTTTAAGACCAAGTTTTATTCAGGTACAAGCTCTCCTTCCTCTGTGAGGACAAATCTGCACGTTCCCCCCCCCCAATAGCTAGCAATCCAAAACATTCCAGTGGCACCTTTAAGACCAAATTTTATTCAGGTACAAGCTCTCCTTCCTCTGTGAGGACAGATCTGCACGTCCCTGTCCCCCCCCCCATAGCTAGCAATCCAAAACAGTACAGTGGCACCTTTAAGACCAAGTTTTATTCAGGTACAAGCTCTCCCTCCTCTGTGAGGACAGATCTGCACGTTCCCACCCCCCCAATAGCTAGCAATCCGAAAGAGTCCAGTGGAGCCTGAGCGGTGGGTGTTGCCTTCTGACACACTTCCGGTGATGTCAGGGGGTGTGGCACATGCAAATAAGTTATTCTAATGAGTTATGCTAATGAGCTCCTGCACCTCTTTCTCTACGAAATGACCCCTGGATATAGTGCACAAACACAACTACTGCTGTTAGCTCATTAAAGCGCTGCATATGATCCAAGCCGCTGTGTTCAGAAGCCCAGTCAGCAGCACTCTTGCAGCGGGCTGGTGAAAGGCTTGCGTGTCCCACCCTTTCCCCTGCATCCTGGTAACACTGAGAAAGAATAGAATGACCCACTTCTGCTGAAGGGAGATGCAGCCCAGCCTCTATTTCCTGTAAGAACTGCTTGTGCAAAACTCCAGGTTTTGTGCGGGGGGGTGGTGGTGGTTGTAAGCAGCAGGGCTATTTTTGGGCAGGAACGCACAGGAACGGAGTTCCAGCTGGCTCCCAAGTTGGCCACGCCCAGCAGGAACTAATTAGCATAATAGGCCACACCCAACAGCAGAGACTCATTAGGATTGGCTACATTAGGGGTGTGTGGCCTAACATGCAAAGGAGTTCCTGCTACAAAAAAAGGCCCTGGGTTTTGACAACAAACAAGGTAAACAGAATAAGAAGGGAAAGGTGGGTGTGGCTGGATGACCACACTTCTCGTGACACGGGGGCGTGGCCTAATATGCTAATGAGCTATGGCCTCATGGGTGTGGCCTATTATGCTAATGAGTTTCTGTTGTTGGGTGTGGCCTATTATGCTAATGAGTTCCTGCTGGGCTTTTTCTACAAAAAGAGCCCTGGTAAGCAGATTTATTCATGAGGAAGGTGCAGAACCTTCCCTGATGAGCGGCAGCAGGCTGGGATCCTTCCCTGTGAAAGAAGATCAGTCGCACAGAGTGGCAGATGGTTTTGTTTTTGTAGGGAATTTGTGGGTAAATAGTGACTGCGAGTATCGATGGGAAAGAGCAAACTATGGGACCCGACCTGTATGGCCCGATCTCCTCAGATCTCAGAAGCTAAAGAGAGTTGGCCCGGATTAGTACATGGATGGGAAACCACCTGGGAAGTCAAGGGTTGCCACAAAGAGGCAGGCAAGGGCAAACCCACCTCTGAACCACCTCTGAACAATCAACAGTGGCAAACCACCTCTGAACAGGTGCCCTGACCCGGATGGCCCAGGCTAGCCTGATCTCATCAGATCTCAGAAGCTAAGCAGGGTCGGCCCTGGTTAGTACTTGGATGGGAGACCGCCAAGGAAGCCGAGGGTTGCTACGCAGAGGCAGGCAACGGCAAAACGTCTCTGAACATCTTCCCTGCCCTGTATGGCCCAGGTTAGCCCAATCTCACCAGATCTCAGAAGCTAAGCAGGGTCAGCCCTGGTCAGTATTTGGATGGGAGACCACCAAGGAAGTCCAGGGTTGCTACCCAGAGGCAGGCAATGGCAAAACACCTGTGTTCATCTGCCCTGACCAGGATGGCCCAGGCTAGCCTGATCTCGTCAGATCTCGGAAGCTAGGCAGGGTCGGCCCTGGATAGTACTTGGACGGGAGGCTGCCAGGAAAGCCAAGGGTTGCTCCACGGAGACAACGACAAACCACCTTGGAACATCTGCCCTGACCAGGATGGCCCAGGCTAGCCTGATCTCATCAGATCTCAGAAGCTAAGCAGGGTCAGCCCTGGTCAGTATTTGGATGGGAGACCACCAAGCAGGCCCTTAGTCAGGGGGTATTTAAATTTCTGAGTGGGCACTGGTTAATTGAATTAAAGCTAATTTCATTAAAGTCAAATAGACTCTCTGGGGAAAATAGAGAAGTGCTGTCTGGCACTCCATGAAACCACTGAGTAGTCAGGTTAGAACAGATTTTTAAAAAGGAAGTCCTTCTTCACCCAAAGAGTGATTAACATGTGTAATTCACTGCCACAGGAGGTGGCAGCGGCTACAAGCATGGATGGCTTCAAGAGGGGATTGCATAAAGATATGGAGCAGAGGTCCATCAATGGCTATTAGCTACAAGGTATAGGTAGGAACTCTCAGTCTGGGGCAGGTGATGTTCTGTCTTCTTGGTGCTTGGGGAGGGGGGTCAACAGTGGGAGAGCTTCTAGTGTCCTGGCCCCACTGCTGGACCTCCTGATGGCACCTGGTATTTTTGGCCACTGTGTGACAGAGTGTTGGACTGGATGGGTCATTGGCCTGATCCAACATTGGCTTCTCTTATGTTCTTATGGCTCAGTGGGGCCACCGTAGCCAGCCCTTCATGCCAGACAGCTGTGCAGAATACCTGGCTCCTTCCCCGCACCTGCCACCGCTCTAGGGTCCTGGGCTGGATGGGGAGTCGTGGGGCCTAGCCCCGAAATGCCCCACTGTAGCTACAGGCCTGCCACCGAGAAAGTCCAGAGATGCTACACAGAGGCAGGCAACGGCAAATCACTTGTCTTCATCTCTTGCCTTGGAAGCCCTAGAGAGTCGCCATAAGTCAACTGCAGCTTGATGGCACTTTCCAGCACCAATCCACAGGAAACTCCCCCCACCCGTCTTCCACCAGCAAACCCCGCCATGAATAGAACGCCAGACTGTGTTGTATAGGGGCTTACTCTCTTCTTCGAGCGCAGAATGAACTTTCATCTCGTTGGTTGTCTTTCCCCCCCCCCTGCCCCCACACCCCGTACAGCACATCCACCAGACAGGAGCAAAGTCTTTCAGTTTTCTGACCCTCTGTATGAAGAAGAACCGTGAAGAAGTTGCGACCACGTTCTATAGCTTGCTTGTCCTCAAGAAACAATCGGCTGTCAAGGTGGCTCAAGCCACTTCCTATGCTGACATTATTGTGACTCCGGGTCCAAAGTTCTATGCAACCTGAAGGTCAGAGTGGTCACCCCTTTGAGGACAATCTGCTGGTCAGATTGAAAGCAGAATTCTGCAGTTTTTAAAAGTTCAGCAGAGAGCCTTTACATCACATCCACACCTCTTCCCCAAATCCGATAGCGACTAGTCCTGAATAGACCTGCATCTCTAGGGAAATGAGCAAAATTGTGTGGATTTTATGTTTTTATTGTAAAAGGAGAAAGAATCCACGCTGTTGTTTAATGAGTCTATCTGAATTTCAAGTTTTAAAAACTGTAATCTTTTATGTTGGGTTTATCTGTTCTGACCCAGTTTGGCTGGTTCCTGTTCTTCACGTAGTGGGGGTTTTTTGGTCAGGTACGGAAAGGCAAGTTATTAGCACTCAGGGCATCCTTGTATAACAAGAAAGGGAATCCTTTGCACTTGTGATTATCTGGATAGTGACCCATCCATTTACGAAACTTTTAAATTGGAAGTGTCACTATTGCATAGAAGGTGCGGCATTATTTTTTCTAAGGGCATGGCCACGAGGCGCTTAGTTGTACTCGTACAGTGCATCAGAGGCTCATAAACTACACAACCAGGGGCTTCAGTGCATGTTGACCTCCCTGCCTGTCTTCGTAATAGATGCAGGCAGCAGCAAGAGCAACTTTGCATCTTTCCATGTGACAAGTTTCCGTCATTTGAACCAAGAAGAAAGTTAGCTACCTTACGGGCGTCAGAGAGATGATGTTTTTAAGCAGGTTGAAATCAGTAGGGTAGAGACATCCATTGACAGTGTCCATCAATTGACTCTGGTAAAACATGTTTTTGCTGCAAAAAATATCAACTATACACTCCGTACGCGCCCCCGAAAATGAGGGCCCTTTTTTGGGGGGGGGGGGGGGGAGGGTATCATCTATCCCCAGCCTAAAATTATTATAAAAATCATTATGAATTGTTTAAATTACGTGTTGCCCTATTTAAAGTGTATCGTTCAATGTGTATTTGACTGCTTTTACTTCTTTCTAAGATGCCCTGTTTCATTTAGACCATTAAACAAATGTTGAGATTTGAGAAGATTATTGAAGAGTGCAGTATAATGTGCGTGGGGAGAGTGCAGGAGACACGTTGGCTTGTTTAGGGCACAAATCTGGAAAGAACATCTGTTCAGCAAGCAGAAGGTCCTGAGTTCAATCCCTGGTATCTCCAGTTAAGGGATCTAGGAGTAGGTCAGGGGTCATTTCCTGCAGGAGCCCACAGGAGCGGAGCTCCAGCAGTAAAGAGCCCAGGAGGCAGGCACATGCAACAAGCCCCACCCCCTGCTCCCAGAAGCCCTCAGTGAGAGCAAGAAGCAGCCAGGTAAGTTGCAGAGCCCCCCTCCTGGCCCCCCAGTCCAAAACAGTCCAGTGGCACCTTTAAGACCAGGTTTTATTCAGGTGCAAGCTCTCCCTCCTCTGTGAGGGACAGATCTGCACGTCCCCCCCCCAATAGCTAGCAATCCAAAACAGTCCAGTGGAGCCTGAGCGGAGGGTGTTGCCTTCTGACACACTTCCAGTGATGTCAGGGGGTGTGGCATATGCAAATAAGTTATGCTAATGAGTTATGCTGATGAGCTCCTGCACCTCTTTTTCTACGAAATGACCCTTGGAGTAGGTGATATGAAGGACCTCCCCCTAAGACCCTGGAGAGCAGCCTCCAGTGAGAGGAGACAATACTGGCCACGATGGACGAAAGGTCTGATTCAGTATGAGGCAGCTTAATGTGTTCACATGATGATGGAGGAGGAGGAGGAGATTGGATTTATGCCCCGCCTTTCACTCGGAGTCTCAGAGCGGCTGACATACTCCTTTCCTTTCCCCTCCCCACAACAGGCACCCTGAGAGAAGTAGGTGGGGCTGAGAGAGCTCTTACAAGAACTGCTCTTGAGAGAACAGCTCCGAGAGAACTATGGCTTGCCCAGGGTCATCCAGCAGCTGCAAGTGGAGGAGTGGGAAATCAAACCACTCTCTTAAAGTGCTCTTAACCACTACACCAAACTGGCAGAGAATCACGAGAGAACACCTCATTAAAGAAAGGTGGAAGACCTGAACAAAGGGTTGATGTTGTCCCCTTCCCTAGTTCTGGTTCTTCATCCAAGCTGCCCAAGTAATGGCTTAGGGGTGATGCACTGCTGTAAACTGCCTTGAGCCAAATACTATGGGGTGTGTGCAATACTCCCTCTTATCTGTGGGGTCTTCACTGCCACAGGAGGTGGTGGCGGCTACAAGCATGGACAGCTTCAAGAGGGAACTGGATAAGCATATGGAGCAGAGGTCCATCAGTGGCTATCAGCCACAAGGTATAGATTGGAACTCTCAGTCTGGGGCAAGGGATGCTCTGTCTTCTTGGTGCTTGGGGGGGCAACAGTGGGAGGGCTTCTGGTGTCCCGGCCCCCACTGCTGGACCTCCTGATGGCACCTGGCATTTTTGGCCACTGTGTGACACAGAGTGTTGGACTGAATGGGCCACTGGCCTGATCCAACATAGGCTTTTCTTATGTCTGGGGCAAGGGATGCTCTGTATTCTTGGTGCTTGGGGGGGGGGGCAACAGTGGGAGGGCTCCTAGTGTCCTGGCCGCACTGCTAGACCTCCTGATGGCACCTGGTATTTCTGGCCACTGTGTGACAGAGTGTTGGACTGGATGGACCACTGGCCTGAGCCAACACTGGCTTCTCTTATGTTCTTATGTCTTGTGAGTGAAAATTCTACTATGTGAGCTACTGGAATTAAAGTTGTGAGTGAGTGATTTGGCTACTGCATAAATTAGTTTGCTCTGGAGACTTCCTTCCTGAGCTAAGACAGAAACGTGTGAGCTGGAGGCTAAAAAACAGTGAGCTAGCTCACACTCACTCAGCTTAGAGGGAACACTGTGTGTGTGCGCGCGCAATGTACCTCTTTGAACACAGACGACAGGTAAACATTCCACTTTCCCACACTGGGCATCCCCTGCAGTGGCCTGATCCTCTCCATTCCTCTCCATCACAGTCATCAAATTCCTTCATCTTGCTAATTTTAAAAATAAAATAATTCAGAGCACTTTTTTGCATCTGCTCATCACATTTTCCAAAATCGTAATGCTAAGTTACTCCCTGAATCAAGGGCAACACAATGCCAGAAGGAATAACTTGAAGTGTAAATAAAGATGGCAGGCTTAAGAGGGTAATAACATCTATAGTTTCCTACAAATTTTATTGATTAAAAACATGTATATCCCACCTTTCCTCGTGGTTCAAGGCAGCTTACAATAATAATTTTTTTAAAATCAGTTTTTAAAAAAACCAGTAATCCCCAAATCTCTCCCTTCTCCCCCTTAAAAGCCGCCTGCCATTCAAACCCCCTCAAAAGCTCTGACAAACAAGAAGGCCTTGCAGCATCTCCTGAATCAATGCAAGGAAGGGCCCCCCGGCTCATCTCTTCAGAGAGCCCATCCCACAGTTCTGGAGCCACGATGGACAAGGCCGGGGCTGTGGTCAGTGCAAGACAAGCCCCCCTGTGTGGTGGGATGACAAACAGATGGCTGCCTGGTTAGTTGGTTCACAGGGACATATGCAGGGCTATTTTGGGGCAGGAACGCACAGGAACGGAGTTCCGGCTGGCTCCTGAGTTGGCCACACCCAGCAGGAACTCATTAGCATAATAGGCCACACCCAACAGCAGACACTCATTAGGATTGGCTACATTAGGGCTGTGTGGCCTAACATGCAAAGGAGTTCCTGCTACAAAAAAGCCCTGGGTTTTGACAACAAACAAGGTAAACAGAATAAGAAGCAAAAGGTGGGTGTGGCTGGATGACCACACTTCTGGTAACATGGGGGTGCGGCCTAATATGCTAATGAGCTGTGCTGTCGGGTGTGGCCCAATATGCTAATGAGTTCCTGCTATTGGGTGCAGCCTATTATGCTAATGAGTTCCTGCTGGGCTTTTTCTACAAAAAAAGCCCTGGACATATGAAATGAGAGGGTCCTTCAGATTTGGGTTCAGGAAGTGAAAACGACATGTCTGGTGACTCCTCAAGCAGCCCGGTAAAAATGAGATGTACTTGGGGTCGGAGAGCAATTTTTCTCCAGGTCAGTTCGGCTGGAGAGCCTGGAGGTTTCTTGTCATCTTCTGGGCGTGGAACAGGGGGTCACTGGGTGGGTGTGTGGGGAGGGAGGCATTTGTGAATTTCCTGCATTGTGCACGGGAATTGGACTAGGTGACCCTGGAGTTCCATTCCAACTCTATGATTTAACCATAATCCTTTCCTAGGAGAAGGTTTTCAGGAAAGCTGGAATCCTGCCCTTTTCTGCAGGCTTCATTTCCATTGTTTCTGCAAACTATAACTTGCATACTTAGCAGTCAAGAGCAATAGTCAGTTGTTGTAGATTAGATAAAGGTAAAGGTTCCCTTGCTCGAAAGCCAGTTGAATCCGACTCTAGGATTCCGGTGCTCATCTCCGTTTCAAAGCCGAAGAGCCAGCACTGTCCGAAGACGTTTCCGTGGTCATGTGGCCGGCATGACTAAACACCGAGGCGCACGGAACGTTGTTACCTTCCCACCGAAGTGGTACCTATTTATCTATTTGCAATTTCTTGCTTTCGAACTGCTAGGTTGGCAGGAGCCGGAACTAGAGATGGGAGCTCACTCCATCATGTGGCACCTGGGTCTCTAACTGCTGAACTACCGACCTTCCACAGCCTGCAGTTCAGCGTCTTAACCACTTGAGCCACCGCAGCTCCTGTTGTAGATTACTGGCTAGTTATTGCATAGCCACTTCAATCCAAATCGGCATTTTTTTTTGCCTATATGACCCAGTCATGCATTGAAGCAAATGTTAGCTGGTTGTTGTAGATTTTCCGAGCTGTCTGGCCGTGGCCTTGGCATTGTAGGACCTGATGTTTTGCCAGCAGCTGTGACTGACATCCTCAGAGGTACAACACAGATAGATGGAGTCCTCAGAAAAATCTACAACAACTAATGAACTCCGCCCTTGAAAGCCTTCGACAACATCGTCAA